AACCCTCGGGTACCTGTGTCTGCTATATATGTATATGATCAGATAATGCAATTCACACTAGAGTTCCCGAATTCACCAGGCATGTAGTTTGGTGATGTTATGGAAATCGACATTCTGTTTGTCTGGGTGCTATATAGCCTCTCAAGCAGGGTATTGTTATGCACAATTGCTTTAGCACTATCTGCCACTCCATGCTAATGCACATCATTTTATTCACTCATGTCATCGGCAGATGACTCCTACCAAGAGCATTATTCAGCAGCAATGCAAATAATAGACCCCAGACAGGAATTTGTGCAGGGTGTCATGGAAATAGGAATGAAATTTGAATTGGCAGTTTCTCCAGAACACACAGTAGGAAATGCAGGAGAAAATGGGAAAATAAACCCTGTTGGGTGGCATAATGATTGGCCATAAAACTCTTTTGAGGCCTGCTTTTATGAGCGTTAGTAAAAATCCAAAAGAACTTGAAAAAGACCCTTTCAGTGTGGAAGTTAACGAGAGGTGGGACAACATAACAAAGGCCTGAGACCTCGCCCACTCCTCTTTCCCACACCCACCCATGGGTGACTGATGGGGACCATACCGCTTTACCGTCAACTGATGAATTATGCTTCAAATATGTTGTAGGTCATCTCGGTTAAGTTGTGAAACAACTTCTGCATTCCTAGTTGAGGCACTGTGTGGTGGAATGTAGGGTCTATTCCTTTCTGACCAGGCTCACCCACCACATCTCCAGTGACCTCTGCCCTGACACTGGGGCCGGACCCCTCCCCATGGAGTCCAGTCAGGTGACTGCAGTGCCAGGGACAGCACTTAAGCGTTACTTCATTCACTTGAGCTGTCTATTTCTGATTGACAGCATATGATAATTTTTTTACTGGTTTCTTTGTGCTGAGTTAACTGTTTGCAGCCTTTGTTTACTTTATTTCTGCCTTCATCTCAACAATTCTGTTATTTTAATGCATGTTTTATGTTGTTTTCTGGTTGTGATTCCGTGAGGCTGAATATCCCAAATATTCTGTTGTATTAACTAGGGATGGGCATTATTAATCGACGATCGATAATTGATCATTAAGAATTTCGTCGATCATGTTAATTTGTTATCGATAAAAAAAAAAAAAAAAAAAAAAAAAAAAAAAAAAAAAATCCTTTCCTCTAAATCCTCACTTGCCTGGCTTATGCTACTCCGAGCTATGTCTGAACTTTGTATTTTGAGCACTTCTTGCGTTGCTTTTGCCTCTTCACGATGACTCGCTTGGTTTAGTCCTCAGTTGTAAGTCGCTTTGGATAAAAGCGTCTGCTAAATGACTAAATGTAAATGTAATATGGTTGCGTTGCGTAATGTGAGCCTTGAAGCAATGAACCGCTGGATTGCACCACTGCAGACGGGTGGAAAGTGAACGGAATAAGTTGTTTCCCGGGCTGGTCAAGTTAGCGCAGAGGTACCTGTGCATCCCGGCAACGTCAGTCCCCTCAGAGCGGGTGTTTTCGGCGGCTGGACTGAAGAGTTTGTTTACACTCGACCTCGACGCGTCCGCACAAGCACGAGCAAAGGTGCGCGAGGCAAAAATGACGTCATTGCGGTATTCGGCGTTTTACAGGTGAGCGCGTGGAGTATAAACGCCTCGTCCGTTTGCGGAGACTCACGCTGCAGAGCCAGGCAAAAGTATAAACGAGGCTTGACGGTCACCATGTTGCGGTCGCGTCTGACCCCAGGCCCAGTCCATGTCATCAACATGCTTATCTTTCTCAACAAAAATCAGTAGACTGGTGCAGAAGTTTTATGTGAGTTAATAGATATTTTTTTTGAGGCTTTGTTAAGTAGCCTAATTTGTTGCTAGGTAGGCTAATCTCTCACACTCTTTCTCGACTTCGTACCTTGGATAGTTTTGAGTTACATTGAGTATTATTATGTTTTTGGTTAAGTTATTGTTTAACATGATTTTTTTTATTATTATTTTGGAACAAACGATCGGGTCTCTGTTTGAGGACGCCAACTCGCAGCTGCAGGTTTTGTTGCTTTTTAGAGCACCGCAGCGCATATTTCAAGTTTAGCCGAATGTCCAGTTTAACTGCCGCAAGTTGATTATCTTGTAATAAAGATCTCATCGAGGAAAAACACGCTGTATTTTTGTATTTTCATTGCATTTTTAATTTATAAAAAGTTAAATAAATAATAAATTTTAATATATAAAAAATATTAATGATTAATCGATAGTCGATCGTTAATTCTCCCGACGATCGACTAAGAAAATTTAATCGAATGCCCATCCCTAGTATTAACATTGGAATAGAATTTTAGAATTGGATTATACACACATTTATATAATTATATAATGCCTGCAATAATAAAATGATAAAACAAGGGAGGACTGTCTCTCTCGCTGTGTGTGTCCGTGCGCCATTCACAGATGGTTTCGTTCTTAATTTAAAGGTCAAAATAGCTGTTGATTAATGTGTAGACCTATTATAAAAAATAAACTATAAATTGAGTGTTTAAGTTATTGTGCCTTCAAGCAGTCAGGACATTTCCATCAAAATTGGGAGTTTTGTAGGCAAGGCTGCTTTAATCTAAATACTTTTTTTCTTGGACTTTGCAACCTCAAGACAAATTAGGGTTTGGAAATCAATGTTTTCCAAAAAAGAAAAGAAAAATAGTTTGCCCTTGAGTTGGTATTGTGGATGTCCATAACCTCAAATATCAAAGAATCCGCCATTTAGTGCCTAAACCTTTAAATAAATAAAATATTAATGTGGCTTGCTGTTGTTTGTACAAAAGAATGTATGGAATGATTTAGGCACATTGTTAATCACCATTGAATCACCATCCCTCTCTTTTATGAAAACTTCCATTTAATGAAACTTTCTTGGGCAACATCGTTGGCTTCCTTGAATCTGTAGTCTTTGTTTTCTGTCTGGTAGGCACTGTGCCATTCACTTTCCCCTGGAAATGTCTGGAAACTGTCCTTTGATCACTGAGCTGAATTTATTTTCCCATCATCCCATCATGTAGTTTAGGCTTGGTGACTTAGTGGCTTGCCCTCACTCTCAGTCCCTTTGGAGGTTAAAGAATCCACACTGGGTCAATGCCGATACCAGTCTGGACTGGACACCAGGAGTCATAATGAAAAATCCAGTGGATATTTATTTTTTTACTAGTAGAAACTAGTAAATCTAGTGCTCTAGCTCTCAACTCCCAGGCTCCAGACTTTAGGATTAACTTATGCGCTTTGTCTTTGCTTACTCACAAAGTAAGTCCTCCATTAGTCCTTAAGTTCCTACATGTTCTGCTAGGTGTTCACAGTTTTTCTCAGAAGAAGACAGTTGAGGGTGTACATTTGGAGAGAACAGTACCCTTCTTAATGAAGGCCAGAAGCAGAAACACTTCAATGTGTTTCCTATCAAGAGATTTGCAGTTGTGGCTAAAATTCCAGGACATAATAAAAGTCTGTCTGGACTCAATCAAAATAATCAAAGAGCCAAACTAAGAACAACTGCATCTGGATGCTTTGATGAACATTCGGAAGCTTTGTATAAGCATTTTAAAAAAATTATTTTAGAGTAATTGAACAGAAGGTGGGTGTTTTCTTTTCTGTCTTTCTTGAGAACTCATGCTGGGAAGTCAGATAAACTTGCACTGGAAACTATGCCTTATATCCAAAGCGAACAGTCCAGGTGTGGTTGATGGCTGTCTGATGTAGCACAGAGAGGGTATTGTTGGACTAAGTTATGTTACGGTTTAAAGAGAAGCCTTATTAAAACACTGTAACTTGGTAAGCATGTCCTTGGTCTTATGGGGCATTTCAATATTGCACTTCTGTTTTAAGATGTGTTGTCTTTCAGTAGGACTTTGAGAAGACCTTGTGATCACACTTGATCTCTTAATCTAGGTGTTTAAGTATTATTACTGTTCTTACCGCACTTTTCGGCATATATCAGATAATGCAGATAACTTAATCTCTGCTAAATACTTTCAACAGAGATCTTTGTGTTCTGTCAGTAGTTAAGGTTACATTTTTGTAATGATGCGATAAGGTAGCCTCATGTTTTGGTTTAGCATGCCAGAAAAATCCTGTTACATCATAATACATGTAGTATCTGAGAGGTATAAACCGTCCAGCAGGTCTGATTAGATTTGCATGCTTGTCCTCATCCACAACTTCATATGAAGCTTTACCTTTTAAGTTTTAACAGTACTAAGGCTGAAGTTTATCAAACTAATCCGAGCTACCTTTACCACAGGGGGTGTCCAATCCTGCTCCTGGAGAGCCATTGTCCTGCAAAGTTTAGCTCCAACCCCAATTAAACGCACCTGAACCAGCTAATCAGTGTCTAACTAGGCATACTAGAAACTTCCAGGCAAGTGTGTTTTAGGAAAGTTGGAGCTAAACTTTGCAGGACCGTGGCCCTCCAGGACTGACTTTGATGTTGATGTACATTTCCATATTTGTGGCTTAAAGGGATAGTTCACCCCAAAATTATGTCATCAGTTACTCACCCTCATGTTGTTCCAAACCTGTAAGACTTTCATCTTCGGAACACAAATTAAGATATTTTTGATGAAATCTGTGAGATTTCTGTTCCTCCATTGACAGCTATGCAACTACTACCTTGATGCTTCAAAAAGTTAATAACGATATTGTAAAACTAATCCATATGGATTGAGTGGTTTAGTCCAAATTTTCTGTAAAGACATTTAGGCTTTTTATTCACATATAAACATTGATCAGCAAACATAAACAGAAGCTCAGATTTCATTAAAAATATCTTCATTTGTGTTCCGAAGATGAACGAAAGTCTTGCGGGCTTGTAACGACATGAGGGTGAGTAAACGATGACAAAATTTTCATTTTTGGGTGAACTATGCCTTTATGGAAATCGTCCTTCTTTGTACTTATGAGACATGTTATGTCACTAGATTCAGTTGTAATGAATCATAATTTGCATCTTTAATCCACTTAAGCATTAACAGTCATCATTTTCGTTTACTCTTGCAGAAGAGGTTGACTACAGCAACTTCGGCACCAGCACTCTGACTCGGAAAAAGAAGGCAGTGGTCACTCTTCGAAATGACCTGAACCGCAAACGGCCCCACATCCGCATTGGCATGCCTCAAGACTTCCGTCCTGTATCGTCCATTATTGATGTGGACATCCTTCCTGAATCTCACCGAAGAGTGCGACTCTACCGGCATGGCTCGGACAAGCCCCTTGGATTCTACATCCGTGATGGCACCAGTGTTCGTGTTACACCCCACGGTTTAGAAAAAGTCCCGGGTATCTTCATTTCCCGCCTGGTACCTGGAGGCCTGGCCGAGAGCACAGGCCTGCTGGCCGTCAATGATGAGGTCCTGGAAGTCAATGGTATTGAGGTGACAGGAAAGACATTGGACCAGGTGACTGACATGATGATCGCAAACAGCCACAACCTTATTGTGACCGTGAAGCCGGTGAACCAACGCAACAATGTGGTACGCAGCAGTCGTATCTCGGGCAGCTCGGGTCAGTCATCCGACAGCAGCGGTTCGGTGGGATATCCCGCCATCACCGCTCCCACTGGTGCCACCGCCATCTCTCATGGCTACAGCCCAGAAGATCTGGAGAGTGATGAGGAGTCGGACATCGTAATTGAAAGCAACATCAAGCGGCCATCACGACGCTCCAATGCCTCAGTGGCTTCAACTGCGTCCCGGTCCCAGACGCAAACAACCACCGTAACCCCACCCAGCCCCCCTACGCGACCCCAAACGAGACCTCCATCCACTGTGTCCACGGCCTCTTTCCACTCTCAACCGAGCTTTAATGGCACAGTGCACAATAGTTTGAGTTACAAGTTGCACAAGGACCTTACCCTACAAAACAACCCCTACCACAGCAGCAACCCCGTTATGCGGGAAAGCAATGGCAGCCTACACAAAATCCTCAGTAGCCTGAGGACAGACCCCCGTCACAGCCTGGCTTTACCCAGAGGAGGGGTTGAGGAGGATGGCACAGTCATCACTTTATAATACAGTCACATATAAAATCCAGCCCACCCAGAGACATCGGCTTTTCAGCCTGGGACATCAGACTCAACTTTGAACCTCACCCAACTTTAAGGGTTTTGTAAAATGAATAATTTAACAGAAACAATATCTGGAATTTTACTCTTTTAAATGTTTTTTTTTTTTTTTTTTTTATGTGTTCTAATGTCTTTTGTAAAAAAAATTGTGTCCAATTTAGTGGTATGTCTCTTTTTCCAAGCAGAGACACTTTTTTTATCTTGTCTATCAGTGTTTCTCAGTTCTTGTTTAGAGGTTAATTTTAATCATGTTATCTAAATGTGTCTTGGGACCAGAAATTGGGTTTAGACCTGTGTGTGCGTACTGTTGTCTTCTGTTTACGGTTTGTACCTGAAAACAAACATTTGTTCCTGGTATAATGAAAAAGCTGAGTATATTATGCAAATGCAAAAATGAATTTACTCTTAATCAACAACCCTACCCTTTTTTTTTTTTGCCCTGTCTAATTAAGTTAATAACTGAATAGAATTAATAATCATTATTATTAACTTTCAGTAATGAATGTCTGCTGTATGCGTTTAATGCCTTTATTTGCAGTAATTCACAATTTGGCGGATTCCCTCAGAATGTTTGTTTCCGAATATTTAAATATCACTTGTTTCAGCGTTACAAAATTACCTTTTTGGAAATTGTGGATGTTTTTATTTAGACAAGAATAACATCTTAAAACATCATTTTTTATGAGACATTTACTACTACAGTATGTTGATTTTGGCCTTGTGGGATTTAATTTGACTTTGTTTCTGGTCTATTTGACTGCAGTGGAGTGTAATTGGTCATCACATATAGGTATTTCACACTTGTATGTCCTCTTGAAGCCCTCTTGACTTCAGGAGTCCAGTGGAATGTAAGTTGGTTCCTTCTGTTTTATTCTGTACACATATTTGCTGTCACCTCACTGTTAATGAATCCTCACCTCTGACCTCCACTCAAATCGCCACAGCTGAACAGACTGCTGTCTCATACTAGTCAAATGGCTTTAATGTTAATGCTGCCACTGAGCATACGGTCCAATCAAACTTCAGGTATAAAATTAAGTCTTATATCATTCTTTTTTATATTGGGAACACACCAGTTCATTCTTAATGTTGTTTTATAGAGAGAGAGTCTGTGGATTACATTTGTATATAATTTAAAACCACTGTGGTGTGGATGTACCTTCCTTTTGCTTTTAGGTTGACTGCATTGTATTTGTCTTCTTGAACAAAGACTTACCTTCATATCCACCATTTCTGTGCCTTACTGCCCCTCCTACAGACATAGTTCACTCAAACAGACTTAAGTATTTGGATCTGACCACTGGAAATATTTTCATTTTGGTAAAAGCAAGGGCATGGTATAAAATGTGGGAGTCAAAAAAACATTTGTTCTGTGTCGCCATCCGTTGGTCACTGCCTGAACTGCGTCTCTTGCTAAGAATCACTTTCTTTATATTTTGCATTAATTATTTGCCATTCTTATCATTGTTCTTGTCTTGGATCATCTGTATGTCTGTGTATCATCAACACTGAATAAATTGAACAGAAATTCAAAACAGGACGAGCTAAAAAGGAGATTACTTTAAAAACAAAACGTACGACAGATTGTGTCTTCGGCCAGTCGTGTTAGGACCGTTTCAGTGTGCCGGACTGCAGGTTAGCTTAATTTACCTACAGTAAAGTTCAGTGTCTAAATATATTAGTCAGGCAGTCAAACCACACTTAAAATGGTAGTTACAATACAAAATACATGTAAATAATGAGATGGTTTTTACAGATGTCAGTTTTTTTCTTTTCTTTTCTTTTTTAAACAAAATAAAATTATGAGATGGACAAAACACATTCTGTAGTGTTCTTTACATTCATAGTTTTTGTTAAGATCAACGACCAGGCTTAAGATTGAATTGCACAGCAATTTCCTGTATCCTTCATGAACCATTTTTTATCTGATCTATCTATCTATCTATCTATCTATCTATCTATCTGTCTATCTGTCTATCTGTCTATCTGTCTGTCTGTCTGTCTGTCTGTCTTATTGTCGTGTCAAATATTCACCATTTTTAAAATCAAATCTATCCGTTTCTTTGACCCTTATTATCACATGACCAACATGCGGCCAACCCGTTCTTTGATTGGCTATTAAACTAACGCATGCGCACACGCTGCTCTGCGTTCACTTCCACATAAACAAGAGCAGTGTAGTGGATAGCGAAACATGGAGCATCGCTTTGACAGGGCAGCAGCGGTGCTGTCACCCCTGGAGGAGTCCAGCGCAGAGGTGAGCAGAGACAGCGGTATTGTGTCGCAAAGCGCCAGCAGTTTGTCTATGGTGAGTGAGGCCCTCAGCAGCGGTACCGTGTCTCAGAGCCCGAGCTTCGGCGCTGCAGTGGCCCAGAGCCCGATCTCAGCAGCCGGAGAAACCCAGGACCAGAGCGAGCCGGAGCAGACACAAGACGACGAGCTACTGAGACACACGGCCATCACATACTCCTCTTATATCAGAGCCAACGCTGAAGAAGAGGTAAGGACACATAGATGCAAAGTCGTTCTTTGGCACGCCTGTTTAACATGATAATGCTTAAACTTCCCATACACACAATAAAAGCAAGATAGAAAAAAATTTCTTGTCAGTATATCATCATCATCATCCTCTTTATTATTATTAGCCTATATCACATATAAGCAAGCATGTTGTTCTTCTGAATATTTGTACTGCTCTGATTCTGCCATACTGCCGTGTGAATATGATCTTGATACAACAGTTATTTAAACAAGAAATAGTTATTGATATTAACTTGTATTTTCAAAACAGTATTGCCAGTTCCCTATCTATATTTTGTCTCCACCAAGGAAAATAAAAGAAGTTCTAAAAGAAACCACAGCATAATCAACTTCTGAGTAACACCCAGTAGTGATGTTTCATTCCTGCATGAATCGGAATGAAGGATTCAATTACTCACTCATAAACACACTAGGCCTAGTCCTGCGTCCGATTATGCCTACTTCTATACTAGTAGGTGAAAACCCGTATGTTAGCTGAGTAGCATGTCCGAATTCATAATATTCATAAAACAGTTGGTGAAAAATACCTGGATGACCTACTAGGCTACTTTTTGAGATTCTGAAGTTCGCATCCATTGGACAGTGGACACTTTACTATCCCATCAGGCCACGGAGAAGTGAAGTTTTTTTTTTTTTTTTTTTTTTTTTTATAGAAGTGAAGTAATGCAACTGACACAGTAGGTCAGATGACAGTGACAACATGGATGTTGTTGCATGTATAGCAGTTGTGCCCTTTCAGTCGGATTGCGGTGCCCCCGGAAGCAATTTCAACATGCATACTATATTGAAGAAACATGTTTCAAAAGTAGTACCTACTATATGGTTTCTGGAAGCAGCACGGGTCTTAAAGGTGCTCTAAGCGATGTCACGCGTTTTTTAGGCCAAAACATTTTTTGTCACATACAGCAAACATCTCCTCACTATCCGCTGGCTGCCTGTCCCCTGAACACACTGTAAAGAAACGCGATCTCTGACAGCCAGGCTCCACAAACAGCAACAAAAACAAACTGCAGCGACCCGCTCCCCTAAACATAACAAACTGTTCCAGCCAATGACTGACAAGAAGGGTTTGGGGGTGTGGTTTGGGGGGTTAGTGTGCGGATGAGGAGGGAGTGTCTAGCTAGCCTCCGTTTTGTTCGAACGTCAACAAGAATTGACGTCACCCAGGATCGCTTAAGCCTGGCTCACACTACAGGAGTTTTAGGCCGATTTATGCCCGATTTTCCCCTCCCGAGAATCGGAGAAAAAATCTTGTCGAGGACCTCGATCGGTTCCGATGTTCGGCACAGATTATCTGGTAATGTGAGGCATTCACAGATCGAATCTTGCACCTCCCGATCTGCTCTTACACAAATCGGGCTCGCCCCGATCATATCAAACATGTTTGATATTTATCGGGATGAGCAAGATTGTGATTACGTCAGTACTGTCACAATAGCCAATAAGTAGGGCTGTCATGGTGAAGGAATTTCCATTGAGGTAATTTTGAGTGACTCATCAGCGCGATGCGCGCATTATCTCCATTTATCCAGTTATTGCTAAATAAATAAGCATAATACAGTATAATAAATAATAATAAAATACTAAATGCATAATAAAGGCATCTGAAATAATAAACTAAGTAGCCTACAATCTAGTGTTGTCAAAAATATAGATTTTTCGATATCGATCCTGAACCATCTGCAACTCTTCCGTCTTCCGCAGGATGCACGCGAGAAATGCACATTTCATACGGATTACATAAGCAGAGAGCAGTCTGTAGTCTGTTTTCTTTCGTTTTGAATTGTTCTGTTTAAAAGTAGACATGTATGTGAGGCAAGTAGGCTATCTTATACGCTGAGTTTCGGTTCATTTATGAAGTATCGCCGACGCCTCCGTTTCGTGATTATCTATCGTCTGCTATATTTACTTCTTATTTATAAAAATCCAGGCAATTGGTTGATGAAACATTGTTTAAAATTAAGATACAATTAATACAAAACGAAATTCGATTTAAAGAAAGGTTTTGTGCTTTCTGTTTGATGTCTTTGTGAAAGTTTTAAAGCATATTTTAAAGTCGCTTAGAGCGGTCATGTCCGTAACATTGTTTTTTCCTCAAATGCCAACACGAAAAATAAAATAATATGAATATTTTATGTTCTGTGGAGACTGAGAGCCCTTTCTTCATCCGGTGGGTAGTAGCTACTGTAGGCTATTACTTTGGTTTGCACAGTGTAATTCACAGAACTAGGCCTAGGCCTACACAAAAATATTTTCATTATAAAATATTTATATTCATTATAAAGTTATATTCATTCAAAGATAGGTTAAATGAAACAAGCTGTTAATTATTTTAATTTTAACTTTGAGCTCCACTTTACAATGCTCAGCTGAGCAGCAATGGGCATTGAGCAACGCTGCTGATCATTGTATTGAACAGAGCTGACGCCATTCATTAGAAATATCCTTATTAAAAGGATGATTTTTTTTAAAGATTTCGCTTTCCTTGGTCACACGGCAACCTTTTCACGAATATGACTTGATATGAAGGACAGATATTTTGTTTACATCCACCTTTCCGCTTCCGATCTGTTGCGTGAGATCACGTGAGGCGCTTTCTCTGGCACGAATCTTAATAACATTGTGTAGTGTGTGATGCGCCACGATTTTCAAATCTTGTAGTGTGAGCATGTTTAAGATTTGAGGTAAGAAAATCTGCAAAGATTCTCCTTAAGTGTGAGCTGCAACCAGATTTCAAAATCGGTTAGGATTTTAAAACTCCTGTAGTGTGAGCGAGGCTTTAGAGAACCTTTAATACTCGTACGTAAACAATAGTTTGTGCATGATGTGTGTAAGCATGTGTGAATTAGGATGATTTGGTGATTTTATTTATTTTTTCATGAGAAGTTTTGTGTACAAAAAAAAATCTACGTGATTATTAGCGAGTCAAGCAGATTCGGTTGACCTTTAGTTTATGTTTGCTGATGAATGTTTATGTGAATAAAATCCAAAATTCAATCGGTTTATCATATAAAGCAATTGTCTCTTCAGAAAATGTGGACTAAACTGTTATGGATTAGTTTATGATCTCTGAACTTTTTGAAGCATCA